TAACTTTACTAGTAACTTTAGTACGGCACAGTTTGTCGGGCACGTGGTAACCGAGTGACGCAGTTACGAGGTACAGTCACTCATGATAGCTAACATGACCTATATTAGCCAGCGAGACGGAGAAGGGCTGGATTTCATGCTCAAGCAAAATTAGATTCACAATTCACATCCTTATTTATCCAGATATCACATACCTTTCAGAACAGGTTTCATTAAAACAGCACTGAAAGCTAGCTTGATATTACATAACTATATGCGGTAATAGTGTGGTAATAGTGCGGTAATGGTGCGGTAATGGTGCGGTAATGGTGCGGTAATAATGCAGTAATGGTGCGGTAATGGTACAGTAATAGTTCGGTAATGGTGCAGTAATAGTACATTAATAGTGCGGTAATGGTGCGGTAATAATGCAGTAATGGTGCGGTAATTGTGCGGTAATTGTGCGGTAATTGTGCAGTAATAGTGCTATCACATACAGAACGGATATCACATACCGTTTTTTATTATATTTCATTATCCAGATACCACATACCTTTACAACAAGTTTTATCAATGTTACACAATGTTACAGAACAAGTTTCATTATATTACACTACTTCGTTCGGTAATGGTGCGGTAATCCCTCGCCAATGTCACTCACAGAGGTTAAACATTACAAAGGACTGTTGCGAGACCTATTGTAAAATGTCGCCCCTCCTGAACAGATCACCAGAACAGATCACCTGTTAGTGATTCTACCTAGTATAGTGGACAGGACTAATGTCTCTTACTATTTACTAACAATACAACAGGTTATTATTATTATTATCAGTGTTTCTCCTTATAAGGGCATCACGTGACAATTACCCAGATTTCTATTGTAAAAGTAGGTTAATTTCACCGTGGAGGTAACAGGTGTGTCAGGTCTCTCTTAGCAGTTCCTGTATCAATTCCTTATCTCTTTCTGTCAGTTAACTCTTGTGTGAGATTAGGGATATCTATCTTTATTCTTTATATAAGTTCACTTTAAAAACAGTGCCTTCATCTTCTTCAGAGTTCAGACGCTTGTTATTTTCTTAAATTTACAAATATTTCTGCTAACTTGATCAGTCCGAGTTGTTTTATTTTCACAAACTTTCCCCCATAATCTGAACTAATCCCACAATAATTTCTCCTGACAGAGATGGCATTCTTCTCTCCGACAGTTGACCTCCTTATTGGTATCCTCTTGGTATCACTATCAGTACTAGCACTCCTTCTTAACCCTATTGTTATCCTCTATCACAGAGGAGAACGGAAGAGTCTTTCTGTCATCCTCTTCTGCTCTATAGCAGGTATGTTAGTCAGATTGCTAAGTTCTCACTTCGACAATATCAGTGAAAAAGAGGGAGTGCCCTGTGTAATCGATGAAATTTTACGAAACTTTCAGGAAATCTAAGTTTGACCCATATCTTTATTATCTGACGTTTTTGTGCAATTCTAACACGAATTACGTGAATTGCGTGAGTTACGTGGGTTACTGTATTATAATTATATAACTTTGGAGATCTCAAGAAAGTACCTGTCTAGATACACAATGAGGGTTCCCTCTTCTGAACCAGAACTGTTTCAGCAACTGACGTGTTGGTAACTTTAGTAGTAACTTTAGTAGTAACTTTAGAAGTAACTTTAGCAGTAACTTTAGTAGTAACTTTAGTAGTAACTCTTCTGAACCTGATCCGTTTCAGCAACTGACGTGTTGGTGGGTATTACAGGGGTTTATCCAGGCTACAACTTTATCCTACACCAACACGAGGAGTGCTCAGGTATGTGCTTCTGGTATGTCTCTCAGGTATGTCCCTCAGGTATGTGTTAACCGTCCTTAGATTTTGCGGTTTTTTTGCGTTTTAACTCTACCTTTTAACCTCTAAAATTCTAATCAACTTCTCTTGTAGACCTTGCCAAGCCTTATCAAGCCTTGTAAAGCCTTCTAAAGTGTTATTGAGAGTAATATTTATCTAAAAACAAAACAGGACCTTAACCTGAGCAAATAAAACCACCTCCTCAGATGTGATGTGTCTGCTACGTAGAAAAGAAGAATCTAAGGACCCAGTAAAGATAATCTACACAATGCTGTTAACACTAGGACTGGGCGGATCCTCCCTAGCCACAGTCACACTAGCAGTAGTACGTTACATCAAGATACGTTTCCCTTTCACCAGAATACGTAAACTTTACATCTACATCCTCGCTGCTATATTCCACCTCTACCTCCTCATCCTCTTCTCTTACGTCCTATCTCTGAATAAAGCTCTGTGGATTGTCTCCGCGCAGACTCTCTTTCTCTCTGTTCAAACTGGTGGCAAGCTCCTCTACTCTCTTGTAGCTCTACCCTTCTACCTCAACTACTTGCTCTCCATCACTGCCTCCCTGCTGTCAGTATTAACTCTCCTCAGATCACGTGACCTAACAGAAATACAACAACAGAAACTAGCAGGGAGTAAGAAGATAATGCTGATGAACATTGGGGTTACAGTGTTGAGTTTCCTGATGGTAGCGGGGGAGGTTGATATACAGAGGAGTTCCCCAGGGCCTCCTTCTCATGGTCTCATGTTGGTGGTGTGGAACTTGTTCCCCAGGACACTGGCTGTGCTGAACCCTGTGGTGTTTATTGTGATGACGTGGGAGAGGATGAAGAAGAAGTGGAGGAGGAGGAGGAGTGGGGTTAGTAGTAAGAGTGGGAGTACACTGAGGAGGAGGGGAACTGGTGAGGTTAGCGAGCTGGGGAGACAATTCACTATAGACTGTCAGATTGCGGAGGGTAGCCGTGAGGTTGCGGAGGGTAGCCGTGAGGTTGCGGAGGGTGGCCGTGAGGTTGCGGAGGGTAGCCGTGAGGTTGTGGAGGGTAGCCGTGAGGTTGCAGAGGGTAGCCGTGAGGTTGCGGAGGGTAGCCTTGAGGTTAGCAAACTGGGGACTATTATCTTTGATAAAAGAAGTGTGTCAAACGTACAGATAAACCCTCTTTGTGTTTTTCCTAACGTAGAAACTGAGCAAGAGAAAGTTTAATTTATATAATGATTAATGAGTGTTAAATTACTGACCTTCCTGAGTTAATATATTGTAAAATTAAACTAGTAAAACAGTTCGCAATATTTAAGGTTAAAGAAGATGTGGTTGAATATAATAGGGACGAAAACTTTGCCGATTTAGGCCAACGGCAAGGATCAAAGCTCCAAGCGAATTCTCCAGATGCTTTTTATAGATTCTGGAGAGCGAAGAGATGGTAAATCTCATTTTAAATTTGCGTTGGTTAGAAAATGTTCAATGTTTACAGATTGAAATTGTTTATTAGACAAACTAAAAATAAGATCTAATTATATTTTAACCCTCCCCCCACCCCCCCCCGCCCCCCCCCCCCCCCCCCCCCCCCCCCCCCCCCCCACCCCCAACTTTCTACAAATCACAACAAACAACCCAAGTAGGTTCTACACAATTAAAAGTAGGTTCTACACAACTAAAAGTAGGTTCTACACAACTAAAAGTAGGTTCTACACAACTAAAAGTATGCTCTACACAACTAAAAGTAGGTTCTACACAACTAAAAGTAAGTTCTACACAACTGAAAGTAGGTTCTACACAACTAAAAGTAGGTTCTACACAACTAAAAGTAAGTTATATACTGTGTTAGTAACACTCCGACATAATATGGGAATATGGTTCCCCAAATGATACACGGAAGAGAGTTGTTCAGCACAGACCAATACTGTGTTAATCCGTTTAGAAAGGTAATTACTTTAGTAAAGTAATGTATTTTATTACGTTGCTACCTGGAGATGTGTACTCAATATATTCACTATGTCTAGATTCACTATATTCACTGACTGAGTGTATATATTTTGTTCAGCACTGTTAATAGTTAGTCAGTGAGACGGCTAATAATTATCTGAATAATTCACCTCATATTCAACAATAGATTTTCAATTAGATGCATTCCTTCGTGGATCGTGGTTTAATTTGCAGTTCAGAATCTTCTATCATATTCCTATTGAATTTCCTTCACCCCCGATATAATATGATTAACACTGTAACTAATATTCCAGATCAGCGCTAATATCAATCAATATACAGTAGGACTGGGAATATCTTTCTTATCCTCTTTTATCCTTTATATTATCAGGGATTATGAGAAGTCGGACCACCAACATTTCCCAAATTCAAATGAGCACATTCCAGTTCAGCAACCATTACAAACGGGGATGTGGCAGACAGAATTGAAGGCTATTACGGTGGTAATTGATTCAGGCGGTACTTCTCAACTTCTGATATTAAAATAGGTATTATGTAAGAGAGGAATTCTTCATCATTTGCTGTATTTGTGGGGACGTTGTGGAAATTACACTGCTAGGATGTTTTGTCACAGAAGGTACTTACTGACTTGTTTCAATATTGGGATACTTTACCTAATTGGTGAGAAATTACCTGTTATCCGCATTATTAGCAGTAAAATATAACAGCAATTCAATTGTGAAGTAGACAAGATCATAAAGTTACAATCACTTTACAATCGCGAAAAGGGCGGGAATGCTTGCAGAGTTTACGGAATCCATTTGCTTATTTATACCTGATGTAATGTAACTTATGTAATGGATGAGGAATTTGGAACACGTCAAAACCTTGATCTAGTTATTGGGGAATTCAACCTCATCTTTACTACAGTAAGAAACTGTAGAGGAAACAGTGGGGCGTGGGCACGTGTTGTTGAATGTGGATGAATGTAATGTAAATGATAGTTTAACAGAAACTTTTACTTGTTTTAATTGTAGTCAGCTGAAAACTTGTAGTTGATTAAACTAAGTTCTTGTGACTCTTTTTCAGTATGTTAAATAGTATTTAAGGTAAACATTAATCAAGGTAAACATTAATAAAGGTAAACATTAATTAAGGTAAACAATAATTAAGGTGAACATTAATAAAGGTAAACATTAATCAAGGTAAACATTAATAAAGGTAAACATTAATCAAAGTAACTGTAGTTTAATTACCTGGACACTCAGGTAAAACACAATCCTCTGCATCAATAGAACCTTTTCCACCGTTACAAAGCGAGTCATCTACAATAGTACTGTCCAATAGCTCCGTGTTAGCTTCTGAAAGTAAACCAGGGGTTACTAGGAGGTTACCAGGGGTTACTAGGAGGTTACTATGAGGTTACTAGAGGTAACTAGGAGGTAACAAGGGGTTACTAGAGGTTACTATAGGTTACTAGAAGGTAACTAAATGTTACTAAAGGTTGCCAGGGGTAACTAGAGATTTTCTTAAGTAGAAGAACATAAGTAATTGTGTAGTAGTAAGAACAAGTTACAAATATGTGAGATATAACACCTGTAGAGAGGCAGAGTCTGAGTCTGGTCCTCACTGCGTTACCGCAACTAGCTGTACAGTTCTCCCACACGCTCCAATCTGACCACTCTAATATAAGGGCAGGTTATTCATTAATTAACTAATTAATTTCTTCAAGTCAAAAACTAAGATATTAACTATTAAGAAAGTATGAACTATTTTATAGATATCGAGATTAAAGTTATTGACTCAGCTATTAATTAAATATGAGCTGTATTAAAATATTGAGATTACCGAATAAGACTGGTGGAGGAGGGGGCTCGGTAGTGGGTGTAGTTGTGAGAACTGTAGTGGGTTCAGGAGTAGAGGTGACAGTTTCTGTTGTCTTCACCGTACTTTCACCCTCAGTGAACCAATCTGATCATGTTTCTCATTTTACAAGTTGGAGCAATGGATTTTTACAGCATTGATTTGGGGTAATAAATCAAGACAGAGTGTGTGATCATGTAATTCTGACCTGTTGGTAAAGTTTTTACTTGAGTTGTCTGATCACCCCACCTCTTTGATATCTGAAAAGGTGAAACATCAGAATAGCTTATATTACTCAGCTTATATTACTCAGCTTATATTACCCTACTCACAAGAACATCTTATATTAGATGAACTTTTTAGTTTCGAGATGTTAGATAATTATAATGGAGTATAAGAAAATAATTTTATCAAAATAATTTTATCAACATTTTGGCTCAGAAGTATGATTTGATACAGATACTCTAGAAATCAAGATATCAATAAAATTGAAACTTTACTTATCAAACAAAGTACATAATATGTTACCGGTAGCAAGATGTTTCCACGATAACGAAGAACATCTGGCTTTACCACAATTCCTCTTTTTTCCAGAGCATCGTAATCCTCGTCATCAAATGGATGGCTTCCACCTTTAGATTGAAAGTTATTATTTTACACTATATTAAATGTTTTTTTAAGTTATTTTATTGAGATATACTTAAGACAACATTTGATCAGTACTTATCGAGTCTTAATGAATGGTTGAGAGTCAAATAACAATATAGGACTCCTCAGTTGTTTAAATAGTCCTATATACAAGCACAAAATGTACAGAAGAACAGTTGTTTATATATCCAGCAAGGGCTACAAAATTATGGAATTACAAAGAGCAAAACATTGTACCTGATTCAGAAGAAGTAACAAGGTAACTATGAATGCAATGTATCACGAGTATTAGCCATCCTACATTCATCTACCTGTAATATGGTATTAGAGTTGCTAAATTTAACATAAACATATCGCTGACATGGGGGGGGTTAAAAACTCCTTGTGTCTCTTATGGCCGTGCCCTTAAAACACATCAGGTACAATTCTTAGGGATGGCATACAAAGGTACAAATATTTGGAATATGTTCCTTGAGCCATCAAATGCACTTGGTAAATAGGGTAAAGCACATAATTTTGTCATTTTTTGGCAATTTTCCGACTGCCTGATATAAACCATGGGTTTTAACCTCGTCTGAAATTCCGATTTAGATGAAACCTCCACCATGTTATAGTAGACAGTCTAGGCAAGTTCTAACACAAAAATGATCGAAATTGCTGGGGTTGAAGATGTTTAAAAAAATTATTTTGAAAAAATGACAAAATTAGGTGACTTTACTTAATTTTGTCACCCCGAACCTAATTTTGTCACTTGAAGATTGTGCAAAAAGTAACCGTTTCTCGGTATTTTAGACTACCTGGATGCATCATTCGAGCGCTTTTTTACCAACATTGACCTCAAAAATCCCAAAGATATGATGTTTTCATAGTTTTGTAGCTTGATGAAAAGATGACACTTTTTGGGTATCTAATCTTAGAAAATAGCCCCAAATGCCCCTGAAACCACTGGCATCTTGAAAAACGATTGGTTCTAGGCCTAGGTTGAAATTTTCATGTCTGTAGATAGATCACTTGCTTAGTAATTTCATCAAATATTTTTTTAGTCATTTTAGATTGAAAAAATCAGATTATCCACCTAATATTTCTCGGCGAAAATATGCTATTATAAGTGTTATGCTATTATTTAAGTGCCTTATACATATCCTATGGGCAAAAAAACTTCAGAATAGTTGTATAAGGCCATTTTCAACACAATCTGTGATTTACAAGAAATTTGAGAAAGGTCGATTTTTTTGACAAAATTAGGTACTTCTGGCAAAATCGAACCTAATTTTGTCACCCTCTGTAACTTGAACAATAATTGCGCTAGAGACTTGAAAATTTGTACGTATACTTCTGATGTAGAAGATATTTGAAATATGCAATGGCATGAAGCTAGCTCAATTACTTTTGAAATAGCAATAAATCAAAATTTTGAAAATTCCTTAAGAAAACCTTAAGGATCTTATTTATTTTTCGGGTTAACAGTTTCGCCTTCATTTTTGACACAGATGCAAAAGAGCTAGAAACTTAAACTTTGTACGAGCAGTTTCAGCAAAGTCTAAGCTTTCTTTTTATACACAATCCTTTTCTTTCAAGCTGAAATTCCGAGCCGAGGCAGTTTTTCAGAGCAAAATGACAAAATTAGGTACCCTGACAAAATTATGTGCCTTACCCTAGGTCCACTCAGATTAAATGAGACTCAATTAAGGCACTCTATATTTTGATCAACTCGCAAGATTCAAATTTCAGCACGGTCCACTCAATATTCGACTAAGAGAGTTCAATAAAATGCCATCTCATCTATTTGTAGGATCATATTTTAACAGGCATGGCTCCACCGTGTAGGTGCAGGTTGGTGCGTACCCACCCAAAAGAAAAGGATTTTTACACCAACATTTTCAAATTTTGTAAAAATTACAGGTCAATTTAGTCATCTGACTTTTACTCATTTGAAACTGTTTTGAGAGATATTGAAATACGTTTAGGAGGGTGAAATTCCAAAAATTTTGATGCATGATGCAAAGGTGTAAACACATTACAGAGAGGGACAGAGACACAGAGGCCTGTGTAATCGAAATTGTGCGGTCATGTCATTTACGGGTATAATACGCCTCCCACAAAACAGCTCCTCTCTTGTAGGTTTACAACCTACCAGGACGCGCGCCGAGTTGGACTCGTCGACGGTCCTGTATATGGAACAGATATTTTACGAGTATCACTTGTTAACTCCTCCCAGAATATATATGTTTAATTTTTTCTTGTCATACGTTGTATGACCCGCCGCGCACATATCGTAGTGAAACGACCGTGGGGGTCACAACGTGATACAACTTTTTCTTCTGATTTCTGTATCAAGTAATTATTGCTTCTGATTATCACTTCAGATTACTCAAAAGTGTTCATTACGTTCATTACATATGCGCACAATTCAACCCCAAACTTTATCACGCCAGTTCTTATTTGGTCTACATCAAGCTATTATATAGGTTTATATATAAAGGTTTATGCATCAAACCAGTAAATAGGAATAATCATATTATGTCTTTGATACACCATATAATAAGATATTTTCGAATAATAAATAATACAATTTGATCCATTAATATCCAAAAATTATAACTTTTTCATTAAATGCCTCCTATTATATTTGCCAAAATGTATCTCCAAAAAATTATTTATTATAGTTACTTACTTTAGCATTACCTGGGGACCCCAGGCTATTATGTTCATAAACATAAAATAGAGATTCGGCCGAATAGAGATTCGGCGGAATGACAGGCTGAGCGATAAATTCAAATTTGAAATTCAGCCATATACTTTACTGGGCCGCGCTCAGCCTGTCATTCCGCCGAATCTCTATTCGTTTATGAACATAATCAATAATAGCCTGAGGTCCCCAGGTAACCATATACTCAGCCCACTGCGCGCACACCGCCACACATTGTTGAGAAATCGGCCTTAGGTGCGGCTGTAAGTACTTTGCAGGGTATATTTTTGCTATATAATAACCAGTTACCAGAGCCGGGAGCCTTCTTGCTTGCAGTAGCGCGCGACCGCCGAATCGGTTTCACTAATTCACTCGCCATGGATTAGAGGTAAAGTGCACTATTTTGTATTTCGCATTGGATATAAAGATGACCAATGATATTGCAGTGCTTAAGTTACGTAATACAGGGCGCTTGTGTGTACTTTGCATAGCATTCTTTGTATCACTGATCACGTGGTGACCCCCACGGTCGCTTCACTATAGGGGGAGCCGCGCACTTCGTGCGCGGCGGGTCATACAACGTATGACAAAGCATTCTTATATAGCAAAAACTGAACAGCAGAGTTCCTTTTTTTACTTAATAAATCTTATTCAGTAAAAATTCTGTGTGTTAATATATGTGAGTAACATTTGTCATACGTTGTATGATCCGCACGAGTGACGTGTGCGGTTCCCCCTGTATCGTAGAAACTCTACAGTGAAACGACAATGGGGATCACGACTTGTCATACGTTGTATGACCCGCCGCGCACGAGTGCGCGGATCCCCCTGTATCGTAGTGAAGCGACAATGGGGGTCACCACGTGATACAAGTCACGACGTGATTGTAGGTTTATAACCTACCAGTACAGGACGCGCGCCGAGTTGGACGATCGTCGACGGTCCAATATGGAACAAATATTTTACGAGTATCACCCATTAAACGACGTGATACAAAGTAATATTATATATTATTACTTAATATTATATATTATTACTTCATCGGTCATATAATTATCATGGACATTACTTTCACACTGAAGACCTTAGCCTGAATTGACGTATGTTACTCGTCCGAATTTCTTCGAAGTAGCGCGCGATATGCTTTTTTCTCGAAATTGCCCGATCATGGCAAGTGCTACGAAGTAGCGTGCGCCGGGCCAGACCATTGCATTAACAATGGTCAATAACCTAAATAATTATGTCCGTGAAAATAATGTCTGGCATATGGCATTAAGTGTTATAAAGGTCCGTGAAATTGAATAATAAAGTCCGGTAATTCATCATTATTTCCATTAATTTGCCGATTAATAAATTATAGTTTATTGATATACTAAAACGAATATGATCACTCATCCGCCTAGCGGTTACATTTTTCATTCCTGAGTTCAGAAAAAGGGTAAAATACTTCTTTTTAAATCATTAACAATTTTCACAATTTCTTGGAAATTTTTGGGCGGTGATCATAATGCATAAGCGTGAATAATTATGTCCGTGATAAATTTGGTCCATGAAAAACTTGTCCGCGACATTTAATATGTCCGATAAGGTATGTCTCTTGTAAATGTAATGTGAGTAACATTACTTTTGTCCCTTGTCTAACTCTAATGTCTAAGGCACGGATAACATGAACACATGACAGAGGTTTAATTAATTTAGTTAATTTAGCGCGCGCAGGCACGTAATGTACGTAAGGCACGGTAAAACCACTGATCTTAAGTACATTTTTTTCATTTCATTAGCTGAATATCTACCTGTACCTACCCTAGGGTAAGCACAGGGCTTCTATGTTCTATCTTTTGGTAAATACCTTGACAACAGCCCCTACGAAGAAGAATAAGACAGTACATAATACGCTAAGATGGTGTAACCATATGACATATCCTAAACGGTCTTGCCGGCAAGCTCCCTGCATACTGACACCTCAGATTTCTACATCATATAAGTATGAAATAAAAGAAACTGGACCCCGGCGATTATTGGCTCTTTGCCAAGGTCCTCCGGCTCCAGTCAGGGTTCTTAGTGAACACTATGTTTATGGTACTGGTAGCTTGTAATATGTCGCAGCGAATGGTAAAGACCCGTCAGTGTGAGATTATCTTACTGTGAAATAAAGAAAGGCGTCAAAGCAGGTACCCAGACCAATGACATAACAATGCTTTATTCATGGGCATTGCATGAAGAGGGTTCCTGCTTTATTGTGGCAAGCAAACCCCTTGCTAACTCCCAACAAACCAAGGATTAAAACAAAGGCCATTAGAAAAGCCATGGATCATACCCTAGATGAGAGCGCCTTTGGTTTATTTCTAGAACACAGTAACACACTCTACGATCAAGTTGAGCACAGTGGTTTCTGGGAATGTTCTTTTTCATATTACTCCAATGTCCTTGAACTGGGCTTAATTAAGTGTCACTTATTACCATGCCCTAACTGTGCCTTAAAAGTGGCTTAACCATACTTTACGTGTCCGTGCGTTTATAAGCTACCCCTGTGTGTTGTCCACGCTTAACCGTCCCTTAGGTGTTTCTTAATCTTAGGCTAAAGTGTGTCCACCGACAGATTATCGAATTGCCCCATCTGGTAACGTCT